ACCTTTCCTCCATGCAATCTCAAGCCCAATGAGACAACCCCAAAGTTCTGCTAACAAAACATTACCACAGCCAAGATTTTTACAAAAGCCAACAAGCCACCTTCCACTAGCATTCCTAAATACACCCCCACAAGCAGAAGCTTCTCCATTATTCATACTTGACCCATCCACATTGAGCTTAACCCAAGGGTCCGAAGGAAAAACCCAAGAAACTAATTTCTCTTTATTCGAGTTAGTCTCAAGACCAGCAACCCGAAGCGTGTTTTCTGACCAAGAAAAATCTTCACCATAGACCATAGCAGCTCTAAAAGTGCCATAAGCAGGAACAGAAGATCCCTGAAAAATTTTCTTATTCCTAGCTTGCCAAATGAAACAGGAAATGATACCAAACAGAAGAGGCCATGATGGCAAATTGGACCAATTACGATCCTCAGAGATATTGGACAACACCCATTGCTGAAGATTAAGAGAGAAAAAATCCTCCCAAGCCTCTCGCTTAACTGCAATCTCCCACACTTTTTTTGCTGCAATACAATCTCTAACCGCATGTAAGGAAGTTTCCGTAAAACAATTGCACAGATGACATATATCTGAACCCGCCATGTGCCGTCTGCAACGCCTTTCATTTGTCAAAATTTTATCTCCTAACAACAGCCAAAGGAACGTACGAATCCGTTCAGGTCCATGCCACTGCCAAACGCGATTCCAAGGTAAATTGGTAGATTCCTCGTTACCCCTGGATATGGCCATATAAGCGGACTTCAGCGAAAAACTCTCATCAGATGTCCTTGTCCACAAAATTCGGTCATGACCATTAACATCCGAAGGAGGAAGGATGTTATTAATACGAGCATTGACGTGATCAGGAAGACTATGCTGGAAAGCCCCCCACATCCAACTTCCGGAGGATGAGACAAGATCAGAGACCATTAGCTGATGATTTATCTGAGAGGGATCAGAAATAGCAGCATAGGATGAGAGTGCACCACAACCCGGAACCCACGGGTCATCCCAAAAATGAGTAGAATTTCCATTACCTAGCAAAATTCTGGAATGCTGTAATATCACAGGCCAAGACGAAACAATTGCTTTCCAAAGAGAGGAGCTATTCCGAGTAGCAGAAATATTAGGAACCAAATCAGACTGAACTTTATACTTGGTCTTTAAAACTCTAGCCCAAAGCGCGTCTGGATTAGAAAGGATCCCATAACCAATTTTCATAATAAAAGCCCTGTTAACTTCCTTCATTTTCCTCAGACCCAGCCCTCCATGATCTTTATCCATGCACAACTGATCCCACGCAACCAGATGAGGACGAGTAGATGCTCTATTAGAACCCCACAAAAACCTCCTAATATGTTTCTCAATATCATTGCAGATTCCGAGAGGAACAACAGAAACTTGCATTGTGTAGGCTGGAATAGCTGAGAGAACAGCTTTCGAAAGTGTAATTCTTCCTGCTAGAGAAAGACTGGTGTGGTTCCAGGCATTAATCCTAGATTGAACTCGATCGAGGATATGACTGAAAGCCGCCCTCCCAACTCTGCGATGATGAAGAGGAATACCCAAATACTTTCCAAGATCCACCGTCCTTGAGAAGCCCAACTCACCACTAAGTTCCTCTGCCAAAATATGATTCACATTGTGGGAGAAGAGAATTTTTGTTTTTTCATGGGGCAAACAATTTGACTTAAAGTGATGAATGAGATCGTTAAGAGGTAGGTTGGCGCGGTCTCTCTGGAGAAGAAAACGATGACAAATCATTTAGATGGTAGGAGACCGTTTATAAAGATTTGAGCTCCATGAATCTATGATATATGTTGAAGTACAATGGCGTGTAAGACTCTATGTAATTGGCTGTAAATATTTAGAATAAAGCTTGAGTGTTGTTGTTGTTGCAAGCAACATGTACCATTATAAATATATCAGTATCAATGTGTTCTAGTAAGTAACCGATTTGACTTGAGAAGACAGAACATACAAAAAGGGAGAGTTAACACAGCTATGTAATAACCGTATAAGTCAAATAATTCATTAACTTTTTTTTTTCCACTAATGTATAAGGAAAGCAATGATATAGTAGTAAAGAGAATATTAATAATTCATTACCATTCACATATATATATATATATATATATATATATATATATATATATATATATAAAGCAATTCAGTTCAGTACCACAATTTGAAAGTCGGATCTCATAAGTAAAAACCAGATGATTTTTATAAAAATATATTATAGATTTAAAAGAATTCTTCATTTAATATAAAAAGGTAAATTTTTGAAATTCTTAGTAACTATCCAAAACTTGTAATGGCATTATTCTTATCATATTATGTCTTCCTATTTTCATTACTACACAACTAAATATGAGTGAAAGCATAGAAGAACTGGATACTGATGAGTATCTTAAATTATGAATTTAATATAACCAAGGCATCAATAAATGATATCTAGCTATATGACAGTACTGTATATGCTTTGTTGAGAGCATGAAAGCACAAGCATCTATTAAACATTGCGCAGAAAAGTCAGTATATATAAGCAACCATTCAAAGTAAATTAACTTGTAAAAGATAAGGTAGATATTTAACGTTTATGTTAGGAATGAGATTTATCATTTAAGTTTCTTAAATCAAAATAAAAAAGAGAATTAAGAATAGATCCTAGTGAAAGATACATTATCAGGAGCTTAGGTTCATCAATCTGACGCTACTAGAAATAGTTTCCTCTTATTATCTAGTACAAGTGAAATTGTTTTCAATGACCTTATGGGTGTGTTTGGTACAGGAGAAATTTTTTTGTGACCGGGAATCATGATTAATGGGAATTCAGTAGAAATTGAGTTTACTTGGAATCTTACGAAAGAGGTGTTTGGTTCGCTAAAATATTACCGGAAATATTGGGTAAAAATTACTGATTCCATATTTGGTTTAGAACGAAATATGAGGTTATTTTACAAAAATAACCCCAAACTATTTTTACTTTTGTAATTGATAGATTGGGTCTAGATTTTTATGTATATTGGGGTATTTTTGTCTTAAAATTTATTGTTGTGCTTTCCTTTTGCTTGGTATTCTGATTGGTATTCCGAATTACCATATTATTTTTGGTAATCTGAATAGTGACTTTTCTTTATAAATCAAATTACCGGTAATCCTTGGATATCCGGGAATCGTAATTTATTCCTTCTACCAAACATGGTAATTACATTTACCAAAGAAGGATTACCGGTAATCCTCTCCAAAAACTTGAAACAAACACCCCCTATAGGCAAAGTTGTAAGAAGTACCTTTTCAATTTGAATAAGGACTTGTGTCTCTGGATGATCTTCTTCAGATTTGAGTATCACCAAGCCACAATGATATACCTCTAGTTCTTCCAGCACGGGCAATTCTAGCGTGTGCAATCCAGGATAAAAGCATTTGAGTACTGGCAATTCTATCAGCACCAATGTGGTCAGACAATTAAACACAAACTCTTTTGTTGCTCCTTCTGCGGTTAATTCATCCTTTGAGAATATTTCTACCAACTCTGCACAGTATTTTACTCTAAGCACTTCAAGTGTGATAAGATCTTTAGCCATCGATGCTGGAAACAAAATTTTAAGGCTATCGCATTTTTTAACTTGTACATCCTTTAGCACTTGAAGGCCAATAATTCCTTCAGGATCATTGTCCCAGACATGCTCCAGTTTTGGTAGATCAGTTAAAGACAATATTTTCAAACTGAATATTCCCAAAGCTTTTGTCTCCTTAATTTTATTGCTATTAAATATGGGGAAAACATTTTCTCATGTTGCATGGAAATTCAATTCTCATGTTGTGACCCTTCGATTTGCGTGCAAAGTTTTTCTTTTTTTAATAAATGTGGGACCCACCACTAGTTGAGTCACAACATAAGAATTGAATTCTCATGTAACATGAGAAAATCAAACCCCTTAAATATCACCTGCACTTCACTGCAATCCCTTATTTCTAACTTTTCCAAATTCTTAAAGCAAGGAATTAAATGAGATGGAATTACATGCACTAGATTATTACATCCTGCTGCCACCAAACTTTTCAAACTGCGAAATCTACTCACTTGCACCAAATCATGGCTATGCCATACTTGTTCTATTAATTCAGGATATTCAGAAAGCTCCAGATCCAGCGTGTATTCCCAGGAAAGCTGTAGAAACAAATAAAATTAATACAATATAAATTATTACCGGGCACTCTAGATTTTAATGGTACACCAGGAAAATGAAGGTGTTGCGAGTTAAGACTCTCAACCAATCACTTGGATAACATACTTTTTCGTTTGGGTACGGCTTTGACCAAGTCCATCATTGACATGTTTTAATAATAATCTTATAGTAGATATACCAAGTTGTCTTTGCAAACTTCAAGATGAACAAAAATATATAACTTTGATTCAAAATATCTCGAAATATCTATACAAAAAGTAAATTAGTCATAAATCAAAACATATAACTACACATAGTATAAAGCTTCAAATAATATTTAACAATATGAATTGAATTTATATTATTGGGTTCACTTTTTCTGCAGGCTGCAGATAAGTTATCTGCAATAAGCCCAATACGACGTCGTTTGGGGCGAAAATTATGACGTTTTTGTAATTTTAATTTATTTCAGGATTATAATAGTCTTTATATTTATAATTTTTTAAGATTTCAATACCAAAACGACGTCGTTTTGAAAATAAATGCAGACAACTTATCTGCATTAATTACAGAAACATTTTTCCCTATATTATTTTGATTAAAAAGAAAATGTTTACGATGATGGGAGATTCTCTCCATTCTTTGACAAACAACTAGATGAAGCAGTCGAATTAAAATCATGACGCGCTTTATCGATGAAGACAAACATGTAAATTTTTATTTTCTCTCTTGGAAGAAGAAAACCTCATAAAACTAAGAGAATTTGTATTTATCAAAGAATAAGTATACCTTATCTTTGAAAACTTTTTGTATGGTGGCATTCAAGTCATCCTCCCAATGCCATTGCTCTTCCTCTTCTCCTACAACGACAAGTATTTTTAGCAGCTTTGGTGCACTCGCGCGGGTGACTCTCGGTGAATGTTTTCATCATGGGGCAATCTCTCACAATCAATTTTTCCAATGATGGGAATTTAAATTCACATTTCTTGTAGCTGCAGAAACTCGTGAGGTATTTTAGACTCGCAAGTTCTATAGAAATCAATTTGCTAAATACAATTTCGATCACTCCGTCTTCTTCATTTCCCTCATGAGTTACTATTTCCTTTACTTTTTTACATTGGATTACCTTCATGGTCCTGAGTTGAACCAAGCATTTGGCCGTTGAGGATGCAATTATATAGTTTAATCCAATACATTCAGTTACTTCCAAATATGTTAAGTGAGTCAAAGATACCGAGGAAGGTACTAAATTGATCAAATTGCCGCAGTCATGTAATTCCAAATGCTCTAGTCTCTGTAGAACTGGGTCTCGTTCAAATCCTAGTTCCTTTATCGATGATGCCCAAAAAAGCAATAGCTTAAGCTGTAATACGGTTCCCAATCTTTCTTGTGGCGCAATGTTTCCACTTGGTACTAACTCAACAATGTCAGCGTCTAACAAGTCTAACCTTTCTAGATTAGGCATTCTTTGCAGAAACCAGTAGAGAAGTTCAATACTTGTCAATGACGTCAAACAAAGCTTTTTCATACGGTGCATTCGGTCAAAGAAAGCTTATAAGAATTAATTGGTACTACCTATACTAACAAAATGCATCTTCTATTCGGCAGCCCGGAACGGAAGAACTCCATAGTTAAGCGTGCTTGACTTGGAGCAATTCTGGGATGGGTGACCTCCTGGGAAGTTTTCCCGGGAAGTGTTCGAGTGAGGAAAAAGCACACTGAAAAGTCTCGTGTTAGTATGTGGGGATAGTCATTGATTCTTGAAGTGGCCGGGCGTTACAAGTGGTATCAGAGCAGGGCCTCTCTTCCAGTACGGTGTGGTTCGAGGACGAACCAGGCGGAAGCTGGTGGGCATGTAACATCCCGAGCGCTGATGAGGGCGGGGAGTGATCGCCGGTGCAAAAAGGCATGGACAAGGAGCGGCTCCTGACAGGCTTCCAGTGGGGGGTTACATGCATGAATGAATCGAATCGACACCCGAAAGAGAGGGATTCTAAAGACTGCACAGTTTGGGATAGCTTATAAGAATTAATTGGTACTACCTATACTAACAAAATGCATCTTCTTTTCGGTAGCCCGGAGCGGAAGAACTCCATAGTTAAATGTGCTTGACTTGGAACAATTCTGGGATGGGTGACCTCCTAGGAAGTTTTCCCGGGAAGTGTGCGAGTGAGGAAAAAGCACACTGAAAAGTCTCGTGTTAGTATATGGGGATAGTCATTGATTCTTGAAGCGGCCGGGCGTTACAAGACACACTTTCACTGTGATTCTATATTTTTGTAGGAGGAAAGCATGGAAAGAAGATGTTACAAACAAGAGTTTCACGCGAATAGCGTGATAATGGCGCAGATTGCGCCATGTCCATTGCCTTTTCACGCAACTGGCGTGAATTTCACGCTGATAGCATGAAAACTAAGGAAGAAACAACATGCTACTTTCATGCTACTTCACGCTAATAGCGTGGATTTCATGCTAATCGCGCCAAGGTGGAAGAAAAAAGGAGCCAACCCACTGCCTCTTCACGCAAGTAGCATGGAACTCACGCTAATCGCGCCAAGTACAGGGATCCTCAACTAATCGTCCGCGCGGATCGCGCGAAATTGGTGTTGATCGCGTGGACGTTGCGAATGCAGCCTGATTTTATGGGATTTGATAAAAATGGAAATTTAATCAATTATCTCATGAGATTATGACCTGATTGGATTGCTGGTTATAAAAAGGGAGTCAGAAACAAAAAAAAAAAAAAAAAAACTTTTACACTGAGAGAATTACGAAGACAGAGATCGGAGAACAACTCTTGGCGATTGAAAGATTCAAGAATTCTTCTTCTCCTTTTTCTGGTTATATTTTATGAACTCTTTTCTATTTATTGAATTGTTAGACATGAATATGTCTGGCTAGTCTTTTATTATTGTGGTAAGAGTCACAACCCTTGATGTGAACCCTTCTAGTTTGATTAATTTTATATTTGTTTATTCCAATTGAATTTATTTTCCTTTTTTCTTCATCTCTTAATTCTTCTAGAACTGATCACTCTATCGGGATTGCGAGGGTTAGGGTTTTTAATAGGGATATTGGGATTCTAATTCCAGACAAAAAAGAAAGTAACTGTTCATGTATGCACTAGGGATAGGCTACATGAACCACAAACATTAAGGATTCACTGATTCAAAAGTTTAACCTAAAAAGGGATTTATAAGGGATTAGGATTCTAATAGTGTTAATAAAGTTAAGATCACTAAGGAATTAGGGTTTAACTAATCAATTAAAAGATAGTAAATTGTTTGATCAATGGTTAAATTAAATGTAAACATTAATTCAGATTACAAGGTGGAGATCATAAATGTGTTGGCATCTCTTTACCGCAATATTCTCTTAAATATTTTCTCAACCTTTAATATCTCGTTTTTGAATTTCTTAAGATTCTTTGAATTATTCACACTTTATTAAATTGTTCTCAATTTCCACAAAACACAATTATTCTCAAACCAATTTCATTAATCCAATAAGAGAGGAAAAGTTATAATAAATTCGGTGCCTCAATCCTCATGGAGACGATACTCTACTCATCCTTTTATTACTTGGAACGATCGGTACACTTGCCGATTTTTTGAAATAGCTTAACCTGATGAAGATCTTGTACTACAAATTACTTGGACAAAGGATCAATTTGGATATTCCTGGCATTATTGGTGTGAAGAACTAATTATAAAAGTGTACGGTAGGAATTCATGACATTGTTGTAATCTCTTGTAAATATATGGTTTCTGGAATACTGACATACATATATCCTATGTTGCACCGACACGGGATACGACATGACACGACACTCCGACACCTTAATTCTAAAAATGTTAAATTTTGACATGTTAGGACACATTTTGATATTATATAATATTTTTAATTTATGTAATGTATATTATATTTAGTATTCAATAATTTAACAAAAAAATAAAACTATACTTATAATACCCATCAATTTTGTAAAGAAACATAAGATATCCCAAATGTTTATATTAAACCCAATAAAATCATAATCGTAATATAACAAATCTAATAGTTGGAACTCAAAATGCAATACAACGTAATCTTTGAACCTTTTTTGAACCTTTCCAATGAGTATTGGTAGGGGTGTTTATCAACCGATCCAAACCGATTCAAACCGCGGTGACCGAACCGAATAAATCGAAAATCGAAAAACAAAAAATCAAAAAAAAAACCGCAAATTTTAATTGGATTTGATCGGTTTTTGGATGGGTTGATGAAAACCGATTCAATCCAAACCGATCCAATATATTATTTTCCCTCTACCTACTTGGACCTTTCCTTAATCATAGCCTAAAAATTTCTAAACCCAAGACCCATTAACCCATCATCTAAACTCAAGAAAAAATGTAGTCACATCTTATCAACAAAATTTTATCTTTGTAGAGCTTCATATCTCATTGCAAAATAAAATAAAATATATATATATATATATATTATAATTTACTAATTCTTTTTTATTTCAATTTTTTTTACAAAGCCAATATATACAAAAGATGTTATTTGTACAATAATCATGAAATAAATTTCAGGATTTTCAAAAAACCGAAAACCGATCCAATCTATAATACCCCAAACTTAAGTATTTAATTAATTAATTTTAATTAAGTAATTAAGCCTGAATTAGTGAGTAAAATTAAGTATAAGACTTAATTAAACGAATTGGAGTCACTTTGGAGGTAAAAAGTGTACTCAGTGAAAGTTAAGGGGTATAAATGGGTACTGGAAAAAGTGTCCAAAATATAAAAATAAAAATATTAATATTCCTAGAATAATATTCCAGACTTTTGGGTAAAGTTTGGTAATTAATGGAGTTGAATAGATAGATGAACCAATACCCACATAAGCCACTTAACTAAGTTAAGTGACTTAAAAGCCAAAAAGAACCCCTACCCCATTCATTCCCCACGACACCCTGCACCAGAGAAGAAGAAAAGAAAGAAAAAGAGAGAGAAGGAGGAAGGAGGGAAGGAGAAGGGAGGAAGAGGGTGAGAGGGCGATTCTCCACCGATCGGAGTGATTCCAAAGCCTAAACCACTCAAAATCTTCCCCTCTTCCATAATCCTAGCTTAGTTTTGAGTGGGGGTTATTGTGGAGAGAGATATTCTCCTTCAAAAATTCGAACCCTAGGTGAAATTGAGGAGATTGATGGCTCCTACCTCCATGGGAGCTTGGGAGGCTTCTATTGCATGGTTGTGTGACCTATTGTGGTAAGTTTCCACTTCTCCAACCTTGTATTCATGGAAGTTTCTTGAGGTTGATGATGATGAATAGTATATTTTGGGGTTTTATGAGTTTGAGTGTGATGGAGGCTTGGTGTCTTTGAAAATGTTGTTAGTGATGATAAATAAACGGTGAAAATGAGTTTAGATTGTCATTTGAGTATAGTTTGACATTTGAGTAAATTATGCTTGAGATTAAGGATGCTCTTAAATGTTAAGATATTATTAGCATCAATTGATTGTATTCCTTGTGTTGATAGGATTGAGGCAAGAAGACCAAGTAGAGTGACCAACCTTTGTGGTTGTGTGCAATTGAGGAAAGCTCAAGAGCAAGGTAAACCTTTGGACCTTGGGGTTGATCCCATTGAGTGTTCCACCATACTCCATGGAGGAGAAATGGTTTATGAGATGTGATATGTAATTATGATTGTAATTGTATGCTCATGCATTGATTCATGCATTGATACATGTTATGATTGATTGATGATTATTGGTTGATGTTTGATCGTTTAAGAGTAATTGAGGAATGGTTATAGAAGTAGCAATAATGAATGAGGTAATGGTTGAGGATTGTGATTGAGGTTATGAGTGATAGTATTATGATGAGAATGATTGGTAGGAACTTCCCTTGGAAACAGCCCAATGTGGATCTCCATGTGGTTAGAGCCTAAGAGGAACAGCCCTATGTGGATCCCTCTTGGAGGTTCCTAGATTGAGGAAAGGACTTCCCTTGGAAACAGCCCGATGTGGATCTCCATGTGGTAAGAGCCTAAGAGAAACAGCCCTTAGTGGATCTCTCTTGGAAGTCCATGTGATGCTTGCTGATAAGAATGTGTTAAGCTATTATGATTATGTGTACATCGAAAGTGAACCTTAGGGTGGAGTGATCTCCAAGGACCTCTGGTTTACTGTGAGATATACAAATATCTCACCCCGTGTTGTGGGGCATCATTTCAGGTACTGATAGAGGTGAGGTTGATCGAGGCAAGAAGCATGAGTAGATTGTACCTGATATCTGGGCATGTTGAGTTGCATGCCATTTAGCATTGCTATATGTATATTTTGATGCCACATGATGTATTTTGGAGGACTTAGTGCATGATCATTGTAGTAGTAATGGGTATCTGATACATGGTTACTTGCTTTGATCATGTTCCTTTTGTAACTAAGTCCTTTGGCATGTATATGAGATTTGTAATTAAGACATGATGGAATATTGTAAGTAATGAAGATATTTATGTATGATGCTTACTGTAAGTTAAATGCATGAATGTATTTTATGTATTGGATTGTTGAGCTGGAAAGTCAATTAGGTACCTTGTGCTAAGTTGGGAATCGTTGAGAAAACAAAGGTTATGCTGCCCAAATTTTAGTACAAGCCATGAGGAAAAAGGCATGTATGTCCCTTTAGATGTGTTTGTATTATGCAAGAACTAAGAACCATTTATGGAGAGGAATTTATGTGATAGATTTGGACCGTGGTGTATGTATGGAAGTTGTAGATATTTTTCTTAGCTTTCCATAGAGACCAATATTATGTGAATTGGGCAAGTACAACTCTAGTTAGAGGAAAATACTAAGAATTGGTGAAACCTTCAGAGCTTTGGCGCACCTGGCGCCAACCTTGGCGCACATCACGCCATTTTGCTCGAAAGCTTCTGTTTCGTAGCGCAAATCGCGCCGGCATTGGCTCAAATCGCGCCGGGATCACCAGCTGGCGCACCTGGCGCCAACCTTGGCGCCTCCAGCGCCATTTCGACCGGGAGCTTCTGTTTCTATGGCGCCCGCCGCGCCACAGCTGGCGCCGGTCGCGCCGGGATCAGCAGGATTCACGCGCTCGTTTCGTAGAAAACCCATAACTTGGGCTGCAGTGCTCCGATTTGAGCGCGGTTTGAACCCACGCGTAGCTAACGAAGAGATCTACAATATAGTAGAAGTTGTGAAATAAATAAGAAGTAAATTAATGGTTTAAAAATGGAATAAGAACATGATGTTAAGCTTGGTTTATCTGATTCCGCGAGGTAATATGGTTATGATCACGCAATTGGATATTTTAAATTCGACGTCGTTTTAAAAAGAAAAATTTACCCGGATTTTTAGTTGAGCCAATGTGATTGTAACTGCGCTTAATATCATAATGCGATGTTAACAAACTGGTTCTAGAACGGGGTGTTACACAATCCAAACCGAAAAAAATTGGATTGGATTGGATCGGATCGGATTTGGAAAAAAATTCAAGCCGAATGGATAATCATATGATCAAACCGAAAGAATTGGATCGGATGATTTTTGCTTCCAAAACCGATCCAATCCAGACCGCGAACACCCCTAAGTATTGGAGTGTCGGAAAGTGTCAGTGAGTATCGGAAAGTGTCGGACACGACACGTTAGGATTTTTGAAGTGTCGGTGCTTCATAGCATATATATATATATATATATATATATATATATATATGGGTAAATATTTTTACTACCACTTTAGATAAGATTATTTACAGCTACCATTTATAATTTTGTACTACCTATAGTATATAGTTATAACATTAAAGTTGCTTGTTTTCTTCTCTCTGCAGTAATTTTTCAAAACCTGCTGATGTGGTGAGAGAGAAAAAAACAATTTTAATGTTATTAAAGAATAACTATAGATAACCTTATCTAAAGGGCCGTAGAAATATTTTTTATTATATATATATATATATATATATATATATATATATATATATATATATATATAATTGTTACTAAAAAAAGTTTGTTCAATTATTGGTGGATTGTTCTGTACAATTTTCTTCTTATATTTGTTGGTTTGTTTGTGTTATAATATTATGATTCAAAAATACTTTAACTAATCATTGGAGTAATTGAAAAGAAGGCTACCAGAATCCCCCCTACAATACACTTGTGATTTGAAAGCTTGGGAAGATGAGCAAACGTTGAACCCCCATTAGAATCCAGATTTAAATTGAAGCTAGATAGAAATAAATGGACAAACTACCCTGTTCGAGAAAAGACCAGTAAATGGAGCAATGGTCCGAATATATGCCAAAGTTGTCCCAACCAAGAGGAATCTATTCTTCATGTGCTGCGTGATTGTAAGTTTGCCCGTGAGATTTGGAATGAATATTGGTTTAGAGGAAGAGTGCCACATGAATTCTATAGGTTGGAAACAAAGGACTGGTTTGAAAGAAATATGATGAAGAAATAGTTTTCTTATAGAGCATCTGATTGGAGAGATATATTTTTTCCTACATACTGGTTTTTATGGAAATGGCCAAACCAACAAATCCATGAAGATGGTGTTTGCAGACCTTCCAGAGGTTTCATTCTGATTTCGAATTTTATAGAACAAATCAAGAAGGCTAGAATGAAGGATAATGCGAATTTGCAAAATGCATCTTTTGTTCCGATCTTACGAAATTAGATTCCTCCAGAAGAGGGATATGGTTTAAGCTCAATGCAGATGGAGCATCATCCAATATTAGGAATCAATCAACATGTGGAGGTATTGTGAGATTTCATAATAGCATATTCAGAAGAAGATTCAGCTATAATATTGGATATTGCAATCCACTAGATGCTAAACTTTGAGATATTTTAAAGGGAATTGAATTGTCATGGGATACAGGGATAAAGAAGTTGATGATCGAGAGTGATTCCACTATTGCCATCAATTTACTACAAGACAGACATGAAGATCCTAGAAACTCAAGGGTATTCAAACAAATTCGAAAATGGTTGTCACAAGACTGGACCATACGTTTCAAGCACATTTGTAGAGATAGTAATTCTTGTGCTCACTGGCTAGTGAAGTACTCTTCTAGGACTTGTAATATGATCAATATCTATCTAGACCCTCCTCAGCGTTTACTAGAGATGCTGGAAGAAGATAGGATTAGTGCTATGTCTGTTTTGTAATCTGTTTTTGGGGCTTTGCCCCTCCCCATTACAAAAAAAAGAAATAAATGGACAAAATTAAGGGTTAACAAATAGAACAAATATACCTTGCGCAAAAAGTTCCTGTGAATTTGACTCTGGACAAACCACTCGCATTTTTTTTAATATATATATATATATATATATAAACAGTGCATAATACAACGTACTTACTGAAATGATTTATCTTTCTTCTTCATAACAATCTGTAACTTGTAAGTTATAATCACACACATTGTTACATTAATATATAGAACAATGTATTTCTTCATCAAATCGGTAACTTAAAATCACACAAGATTTTTTTTATTTTTTATTTTTTTATTTTTTAACACACAAGCAAACACAGTAATACTGGATTAAACACAAAAAAATAAAAAATAAAATAGGAATACTTGACAACTTTGTTCCTCTTCAGCTCCTCATCATGTCCTCTTGTTGGAGTCGGATCAGCCTAGACAATTTATAAAACAATGGTGTTAGTTTTATAATTTATAATCCCACACATTATTACATTAGTATATAGAACAACGTACTTACTGATATAGTTCATGTTTGTTCTTCATGACCAGCTGTAACTTATAACCACACACATTATTACATTATTATACATAACAATGTATTTCTTCTTCATCAACTGTGCAACTTAAACCCATACAAGCATAATTCTTCTTCTTCTTTTTTTTGGTTTTTTGTTTTGTTTTGTTTTGTATTTTTTTTATTTTTTATTTTTAACACAAACAATCATAGTAATGCTAGATCAAACCCAAAAGTAATAATATTGGTAGTACTGGACAACTTTGTTCCTCTTCATCAACTTTCTTTGTCATCACTCTCCTCTTCCTGACCTCTCATGCATTATTCGAGTTCGACTCAGCCTGGATAAATTACAAAAGCATCTGATGTTAGTTTCATAACTAATATTAATCACACACATTATTACATTAGCGTATGGAACAATGCATTTCTTCTTCATCAACTGTGTAAATTAAAACCACACACGTAATTCTTTTTTTTTCTTTTTCAACACAAAAGTAAGCATAGTAGTACTGGATTAAACCCAAAAAAAGAAGTAGTACTGGACAAATTTATTCCTTTTCATCGCTGACTTTGCCATCAATCTCCTTTTCCTCTCTGGACTCAGCCTAGACAAAGTATAAACACAATAGTTATATAATAATGATGAACAAAATAATTCAAGATTTAACCATTGAAGCTGTAAATTCTTTATTGAAAATTAAAAGTAATGTTTCTAATTAACATTCTCATAGGACACACTTCTCAAGAAAAAGGATGCTAGATGTAGAAATTTTGTGGTGTAAAAAAATAAATAAACTATTTAACATACTCCTTGCCATCAATTTGGGACAGAGTGACAAGGCAAACAAAATATTCATTGTTTCGTGTCTCTCTAATAACAATAATATATAATGTAATGTTCAATAAAGTTTGTATCATCAATAAAAGAGAAAAAGATAAATGAAGAACACCTACCGTTGCCAGAAACGCCTTCCGTATGGTAGAATTGAGATCAATTTCCAATGGGATAGCATCTGAGTTCTCCTCAAATTTAACTCTTAACAACTTGTCTGCATTGATGGTACCGGGACAGAAAGTTTCCATCCTGTGGCAATTGAATACTGACAATTCCTCCAAGGATGGGAAACTTAAACTAAAACTCCCATTATAGAAGCTTGTGAGGTTTGGTAAATATTCAAGATTCAAAGTTTGGAGCTCCCCAAATATTATCTTATCATCAGGGGATTCAATCATACAAGGGAACGTGAGCTCTAGATTTGTTCCTTTTGGATCTGCATTATCCTCTGCAACAATTACCATCAGCCCCTCACAGTGTTTCACAAATAGATTTTCAAGTTTCACAAGATCTTTGGCCACTGATGCTGGAAACAAACTTGTAAGGCATTTACAGTTCTTAACAACTACTTCTTGAAGAAGTTGCACCTTTAGAAATCCATGAGGATCTTCATTCCAAACATTCTCCAGATTTGGCAGCTGCTCTAAAATCAATTTCTTGAGGGAAAAAGGGAGGGGGAGGAGGGCTGGTTCCATAGTTTTCATTTTTCTGTCTTCTGTTATGCATTTCACATCAAATATGGTCTTCACAGAACTACAGTCTCGAACTTCCAGCCTTTCCAATTTAGTTAAGAAAGGAAGTAAATGAGACGGCAGAACATCTGATAAAAATTGGCACCCATCCACGATCAACACCATCAAATTACTGAAGCACATGTCTGGGACTGGCAGTATTCCATGCCATATCTCTTGTAGCGTGCTCTCTCTGAGATCCAAATGTGATATATTCCGTGCTTCCTTTGAAATCTGCGCATGCAAAAGAATGAACTCAAAAATTTATTATTTAGGGGGGTCGGTAAGAATTGATATTTAGAATTATATTTTATTTTTAATTTTCCTAACACTGAAATTGTTCAAAATGTTAAAATTGAAGTTTGACATTGATCATTAAAAAAAATCCCAGTTCTTGTATTGATCATATATGACAACTTACATATATACAATTCAACGATGACCTTTCCCTATCTTATCGAAGTTGTTTTGAATTAATTCCATCACATATTCTTAGCTTTGCTATCTGACTTAATAATATCTTAGGCTTGTCCATTTCTTGTTATATATGAGAATACTTTACTTTTAAAAATGCTTCAATGAGACCTCCTAGTTAATGAGAAGGATAAGGATGTTTTTACACTTGAAGTTTGATTGATTTGAATTCACGATTTAATGTTAAATTATTAGTTTAGTTATTTGAAATTTTTAATCATATATAATTCGATAAGATCAATAAGAATATGAGAGAGAGAATGTTATTCATCCGATACATACATACCTTTTCCGCAAACCTTTTGTGCAGGGTATGATTAAGATCACCTTCCCATCGGGGACTTCCATATTCGATGATTAAACTAACTCCTGAAGACAACTTGTCTGGATTTATTACGTTGAATGGACAGAAAGTTTTCATCCAGCTGCATGAGATTATGGACACATTCTCTAAGGATGGAAAGCACAAAGTTGAATTCCCTTTGTAGAAGCACGTGAGCTTTGGTAAACTTTCAAGATACAAATCCTGGAGCTGCCCAAATATTATTTGTTCATCCTCATGTGATTCATCCCCCTCTCTGGACACTATCTCTTGCATTGATTCGCAATAACATATCTTCATCATTTTGAGTCGAGCCAAACTTTTGGCTGTTGAGGATGTAAACAAATATAGAAGACTTTTACAATGACGTACTGTCAAATGTGTCAGATTGGTGAAAGATACCGTGCATGGTACCAAGTTTATCAATCTTCCACAAAATACTACTTCTAATGTTTCGAGATTTTCAGCAATGGAATGTAGCCAAGAGTGCTCTAAACCAATGGATTTGAGATTATCCAGATCAAATAGACTGAATTCTCTGAGGTGCGAGAGACCTCTAAGAAGACCTCTAGTGTAAACGGCATTAGGTTCAGCTGAGAAGATCTCTTCGAAAAAACCCACGCTTAATACAAGCTTAATAGAAGCCTCTAAGAATTGCCGTTGTTCAAATTTCAATCTTCGAGATACTCGATTCCAGCGGAAAAAACTGTTGAATTCTTCTTCAAATGGTTGAATTCTTCCATATCGAAATTGCAATTCTCGAGATACTCGATTCCAGCAAACCTCCTTGTTTCCAATACCGAATGTCAATTTCTCCAAGCTGGGGATCTGGATAACCTGTAAAGATAAAACAAATAAGAAAATTATAGGCGAACAGAAACTATCAGAATATCAACTTATTTTTCTACTACACAGATTTGAAGTCTTGTGCAACTTTCTACATCTTCATGATGAGAAAATGAAGCTCTACTTGCATTATCCTATATATTTAATATGAGAAATTTTTATAATAATTATCAACTTCAATCAATTGTAATTTTTCATGTTTTAATAAAAACGGGCTAAGTTTCCATATATATATATATATATATATATATATAATATGAGAAATTTTTATAATAATTTTGAGTTTCAATTGTAATTTTTCATGTTTTAATAAAAAGGAGTAAGTCTTCATATATATATATATATATTTAATATGAGAAATTTTTATAATAATTATGAGCTTCAATCAATTATAATTTTTCATGTTTTAATAAAAACGGACTAAGTCTCCATATAGGGTGCAATATAAAACCCAGTCAATTAGTGATCCTTTTAATTTGGGCTTGGATATCTGATTAGTGTGGTAATAGTGTAGACCTAACTCATAGGCCCATGATAGGAAGGAGACTAGGGTTAATAAGTGTGGCTAAGTGCCCTCTGCATTCACAGTGTGTTGGACAACCGTCACTCTACAACTTGCCCCATCAATGGTTGTAACCAAGGAGTAGTGTGAATTACAGAGGAAGATCTTAATCTTTCCAACTTTGCAGGAGCATCAGAGAAAATAAGAAGCAAGAAAGCCAAGAAATCAAGAATCATGTCTTCAACAAATAAACCTAAATCTTTTGGTGTTCTAATTTCATATAATCTCATCTTAAATTTTCTTACATTTAACTGTCTTTTTAGTTAATCATGCATGGTGTTAAATGCTGAATTGTTTTTGCGTCTTAAGTTACTTACAATGTTGTGTTTAGTATAATAACCGTTCAGTTGTAGATTTAATTATAAATTAATAATTTTAATTATAATATTAAAGAATAATTATAAGGAAAATAGAAAAGTCACTTTTAATGAAAAATGAGTTAAAAAAAGACTGTCAAGAGGTAAAAATGTATGTAGACAAAATTACTCAAAAGGTAAAAGTAATATCATGGACATTATTTTTAGGACAGTATGATGATGAGATAGCTTAAACCATAGATAGCTGAGCAATATATTTATCTATGTTATGTTTGATTTGAGGTGTATTTGACATGTTAATTAGGTGAAAATTTTATAATGGGTAATATCCCAAAGGTCCAAAATACAGACGAAATGCTGTCTGCTTTATTTTGGCCAACAATATGTAAAGTTTGCCATACATGAGGAAAAAGAGAAGATTTATTCAGTTTACCGTACTATCGTATGGATATTAATTTATCGGCTATAGACAAGGCGTTAGATTTAGTATCCCTTAAAATTTTACAGGATTAGTTTACTCAATGGAGTAATAATCTCTTATGGTGGTGTTTGGTTGAGGGCTTTTTCAGATTATCCCATGCAAATGAAGTTGGCAATCTGATTTGCACTTGTTTGGTATAGAGAGAAATGGCTGATTTCCTAGGCAACCATAATGCATAGCATTTTCAATTTTGTGAAAGAATGCTAGACTTTGGCACTGTTTAGAAAGCATTGTGAGAGGTGGTTTTATATAGATAGCTGGGTAAATCACATGGCTCCACAACAAATCAGACCATTATACCCTCTGACAACTTGTATGAGAGATGCTATGATATTATCGTGCTTCAGATTCGATTGTGCAGTTGGAGCTTATGCAAATGGCTGAGGGGATAAAAGGTTGGGCTTTATGCAAATGGATCCTACTTAAAATATTTTAATCAAATCATACACATTATAATATCTACTTCTAAAGCCTCCTTTGAGAGCTGTGCTCTCTGCCCCCTCCGAGGCCAGGTCCTCTATTTTTTATTTTTTTATAACAACAGGAATTAAAAAAAAATGGCAAACAAAACACAAGGATGCTACTATTCAGCGCTAAGAAGAGGGACATTTTTGTAATTTATAGTTATTTTAAAAATATGGACATTTTTGTAATTGTAACTTATTTCCCCATCTATATTTTACTTCAAACCAAACATAGATTTTATAAATCTTACATAATTTGCCTGGTTAAATTTTTTCTAACCAAACAACTTTTTTTATATTTTCCTATCAAACTCACTTTTCAACCATTTCCCTATCAATTACATTTTCCTAGTATTCAAAAAAAAATTCCTCAACCAAACGTCCCTATAAGTTACTTTCGACCTTGAGAGTTAAACGTGTTTAATCCCTTAAAAGAAAATTGGTTAAGACGGGATATTCTCCAAATTCATACCATTAATATTCAATTATCCAAACACGTTTCAAACAACTAATTTTACAAATATACGTTTTATTCAATGAGTAAATACCTTTTTGGTCCTCAGCAAATTTTACGAAGCCCGATTTAGTCCCTAGCAAATAAAAAGGCCCATTATGGTCCCTAAGAAATTCAAAATGGACCAATTTAGTTGAAATTGTGGTCCCTCACAATTTCAAAAAGGCCTATATTAGTCCTCAAAATGACTAAAATAGGTTCATTTTGTATTTTTTAGAGACCACAATGGACCTTTTTATTTGCTAGGGACTAAAACGGACTTCGTAAAATTTGTTGAGGACCAAAAAAGATATTTACTCTTATTTAATTTGATCATGCATGTGGAATCAATATGGAGTCCCCTGTCTCAACCAATTTTCTTTAAGAAATTATTCTTAAACAGATTTTCCTCACACAATTTTCACGGCAAAAAAGTGTTTTACAAAGTTTATATATTATTCATTGGATCCTATTAGGACTGGCCACACAACTAGAGTAGCACTTGGGAAATCCTTGCTAGGGAACCATGTGTTGGGTCAAAAACCAATATATATAAAACTATATATATATATATATATATATATATATATATATATATATATATATATATAGGATCAGGATCATTTTATACCAGTATTATAAGTTACACTCTCAATCTTATCCGTTGATCCAATTTATATCTAAGGACTCAAATTTTCTAGTAATGTGAGCCATTGGATACAAGTGGATCAATGATCAATATTGAGTGTAAGACTTCTAACTTTTACACCGGTGTAAGAATATCCTGCCCTATATATATGTTTATATATATATATGGTAACATCATTTCTAGCCGCTTTACGTACAGCAACGACAGGTGTATGATTATGATTCTTCACATTTAATGCTTTCATCTTTTGTATGATTATGATTCTCCGCATTTAATGTTTTCAAGTATATATATGGCAAGTATTTGATTGATGCACGTACAACAACTGCAGAAATGTAAACCCCTATATATATATATATAGGGCACGATCATCTTACTCCGGGGTAAGAATAATAAATTTTACACCAAATCTTAACCATTGATTTTCTACATCTAACGGTTAAGATTTATTAGGTCTCACTCATTAATTAATTTTTAATTCTTAATAAATCTCAACCATTGGATGCACGGAAATCAACGGTTAAGATTTGGTGTAAGATTTATTATTCTTACACCGGTGTAAGTTGATCCTATCACTATATATATATATATATATATATATATATATATATATATATGATTCTTTGACACCGGTGTCAAATTTAAAGTTTGACGCCTCCTCTGAGAACTGTTAGATCAAAAAAGATCAATGGTGTCACATGCTTACAAATCAGAGCCGTTGATCTTTTTTGATCTAATGGCTAACAGATGAGGTGTCAAACTTTAAATTTGACACTGGTATCAAAGGATCATACCTCATATACATATATATATATATATACACATATATATATATATTCGTTTGTTCTAAAGACGTCGTTTGGGGGTAGAAATCATGGTATATTTGTAATTTTAATTTATTTCAGGGATATAATAGTCTTAATCATTCTAATTTTTTAATTTTTCAACATAAAATGACGTTTTTTCTGTGAACATTAGATAAAATTGTTTAGAATAATATTAGATATCTTTTTTTCATATATATATATATATATATATATATATATATATATATATATATATATAGGGAATGATATTGTAAAAACCAAGTTGTGTTACTACCAATCAATCTCACCGTTAGATCGATTATATTGATCCAACGGTTATATTTATTTCCATCTTTGTATGGTTATGATTCCCCACATTTAAAGTGAAAGCATTAAATATGGGAAATCATCATAACCATACAAAGGTGAAAATAAATATAAAGTATTAAATTTGAGAAATCATGACCATACAAAGATGAAAATAAATATAATCGTTGGATCAACGTAAACAATCTAACGGTGAGATTGATTGGTAGTAACATAACTTGGTTGTTAAAATATCCTTTCCCTATATATATATATATATATATATATAGGTAGGATCCTTTGACACCAGTGTCAAATTTGAAATTTGACACCTTATCGGAGAGTCATTAGATCAAAAAAGATCAATGATGTCACATGTTTACAAATTAGAGACGTTGATTTTTTTTTATCTAATGGCTCTCAAATGAAGTGTCAAATTTCAAATTTGACACTGGTGTCAAAGGATCCTACCCCATATATATATATATATATATATATATATATATATATATATATATATATATATATATATATACACACGAGGAATAAAAACCAGTTAATTTTTACAACAACAAAAAAATATTATAGATTTGAAAGAATTCTTAATTTAATATAAAAGGTAAATATTTTTTATGGAAACAAAAGGTAAATAGTTGAAATTCCTAGTAACTATCCAAAACTTGTCATGACATAATTCTTATTATATTTTGTCTTCTTATTTTCATTACTACACAACTAAATATGAGTGAAAACATAGAAGAACTGGATACTGATGAGTATCTTAATTCATGAATTTAATATAACCAAGGAATCAATAAATTATATCTAGCAATACGACCGTACTGTATATGCTTTGTTGAGAACATGAAAGCACAAGCATATATTTAACGTGCGCAGAAAAATCAGTATATATAAGCAACCATTCAAAGTAAATTAAGTTGTAAAAGCAAAGGTAGATATATTTAACGTTTATTTTAGGAATGAGATTTATCATTTAAGTCTCATCAGTTAAATAAAAAAGAAAAGTAAGAAATTTAGGAATGATATTTATCATTTATATATCATTAGGTTCATCAATCTGAGGCTACTAGATATAGTTTCCTCTTATTATCTAGTACAAGTGAAATTGTTTTCAATGACCTTATAGACAAAGTTGTAAGAAGTACCTTTTCAATTTGAATAAGGACATGTGCCTCTGGATGATATACCTCTAGTTCTTCCAGCACGAGCAATACTAGCGTGTGTAATCCAGGATAAAAGCATTTGAGTCGTGGCAATCCTTTTAGCACCAATGTGGTCAGACAATTAAACACAAACTCTTTTTTTGCTCCTTCTGCGGTTAATTCATCCTTTGAGAATATTTCTACCAACTCTGGACAGTCTGTTACTTTAAGCACTTCAAGTTTGGTAAGATCTTTAGCCATCGATGCTGGAAATAAAATTTTAAGGCTATTGCATATTTCAACTTGTACATCCTTTAGCACTTGAAGGCCAATAATTCCTTCAGGATCCTTGTCCCATACATGCTCCAGTTTTGGTAGATCAGTTAAAGACAATTTTTTCAAACTGAATATAATTCCCAAAGCTTTTGTCTCCTTAATTTTATTGATATTAAATATCACCTGCACTTCACTGCAACCACTTATTTCTAGCTCTTCCAAATTCTTAAAGCAAGGAAGTAAATGAGATGGAATTACATGCACTAGATTATTACAATCTGCTGCCCTCAAACTTTTCAAATTGCGAAATCTGCTCTCTTGCACCAAATCATTGCTACGCCATACTTGTTCTATTAATTCCGGATATTCAGAAAGCTCCAGATCCACCGTGTATTGCCAAGAAAGCTGTAGAAACAAATAAAATAAAATATAAATTATTACCGGGCACTAAATTTCATCAAAATTTGTGACTAAAAATATTTCTGTAAAAAAGTTTGACGAAAAAAAAAATTTGTCACATTTTTTTACGGAATCTAAATTTCGTCAAAATATTTCACAAAAAAACATATTCATCAAGAATTTCGACGAAACACATTTTCATCGAAATTTTTTGACGGAAAGAAATTTCATCAAAATTCTTTACAGAATTAAAATTTCGGCGAAAGTTTTCGACGGAAACATTTTCGTTAAACTTTTTGACAAAAAATAATTTCGTCAAAATTTTTAGCGAAACACATTTTCATCGAAAATTTGCGACTAAATATTTTTGTCAAGTTTGTGATAAAAAACATTTCCATCAAAATTTTCAATGCAACACATTTCTGTCAAAAAATTTTGTAAAAACTTTTGACAAAAAATTTTGACGAAAAAAATATTCTGTCAAGATTCTTTAGAGAATCTAAATTTCGTCGAAAGTTTCGAATGAAACATTTCCCTCAAAACAATTTCCGTCGAAATTTCGTCAGAACACATTCCTATCAAAATTTTGAACAAAAAAATTCCGTCAAAATTTTGATCGAAAAATATTCCGTCAAAATTTTTGAGGCAATTCTTTTTTTGTTTAAAACATTTGATGGAAGAAATCATTTTCGTCAAAACTTTTGATGGAAATTAAATTTCGATAGCAAATTTATTTTTGTAAAAATTTTCATTAGAGAAAAAATTTCGTCGTTTTTCGACAAAAAATATTTCTACGAAAAAATAATTTTGTGATGAAATTTTCGTCATTTACAACGTTGAAATTTCGACAAAATTTTGTGACGAAACCAAGTCAAAAACGGGTCAGGTCGGATGTGACCCACTTCAGAAACTAAGTCAGGTCATATCCGACCCGATTTTGAACTAGTTCAAAAAAATCCAAACCAAGTCAGATCTGACTTGGATCAAATTAAAGCTCGTCAGATCAAAATACCTGAATTATAAAACCAAGTTGGGTCGAGTCAGCACAAAAACCTGACCCGTGATGACCAATGCACACCCAAAACCTCATAGAGCTAGGAGAATTTGTATTTAATCAATGAATAAGTAGTACCTTATCTTTGAAAACTTTTTGTATGGTGGCATTCAAGTCATCCTCCCAATGCCATTGCTCTTCCTCTTCTTCCTCTTCTCCTTCAACGGCAAGTATTTTTTGCAGCTTTGGTGCACTCGGGTGACTCTCGGTGAATGTTTTCATCATGGGGCAATCTCTCACAATCAATTTTTCCAATGATGGGAATTTAAATTCACATTTCTTGTAGCTGCAGAAACTCGTGAGGTATTTTAGACTCGCAAGTTCTATAGAAATCAATTTGCTAAATACAATTTCGATCACTCCGTCTTCTTCATTTCCCTCATGAGTTACTATTTCCTTTACTTTTTTACATTGGATTACCTTCATGGTCCTGAGTTGAACCAAGCTTTTGGCCGTTGAGGATGCAATTATATAGTTTAATCCAATACATTCAGTTACTTCCAAATATGTTAAGTGAGTCAAAGATACCGAGGAAGGTACTAAATTGATCAAATTGCCGCAGTCATGTAATTCCAAATGCTCTAGTCTCTGTAGAACTGGGTCTCGTTCAAATCCTAGTTCCTCTATCGATGATGCCCCAAAAAGCAATAGCTTAAGCTGTAATACGGTTCCCAATCTTTCTTGTGGCGCAATGTTTCCACTTGGTACTAACTCAGCAATGTCAGCGTCTAACAAGTCTAACCATTCAAGATTAGGCATTCTTTGCAGAAACCAGTAGAGAAGTTCAATACTTGTCAATGACGTCAAACAAAGCTTTTTCATACGGTGCATTCGGTACTTCCCAAAGTTGCGTTGTAACCATTTCGCTTCTTCTAAACCAATGGCAATAAACTCCAAGTTGGAGATGACCTAGAGAAAAATGTAACAAAAGTTAATAGTTGAAGAAGAAGGAAGTAACTTTATATATATTGTATGCTTATCCACTTAGCTTAGGAGAATTTTTATTTTTATTTTAAATAAAACAGTTATTTTTCTTTGATCATAGAATTTGCAAAGACAAACCCCTCATACAATATCAAGACTAATTAAGAGGCGTTCTCAAACATCATCATCATCATCATCATTATTATTATTTAACAAGAAGTTCTAATTAAGGGAAGGAACGCCCCAATCCCCATGCAAAGCCAGCCTCATCGAGGATTTACGCTCTCTAAAAGTGAAATGATGACAAGGAGTTCGGATAGTCTACATATAAATTTACATGATCAAACTATGTGCTAACATTGTACCCAAAAAATTAATGTAAACAAAAAAGAGGGGTAAAGAAAAGACTGTATACATGATAATCAGCGTGTTGAAACAGCATAAAAGTTGGGTCATTATATTTAATATTAGTGGGGGAAATTTTAGAGGGGTCGCACGTTTGGTATAGAATTTTAGGTATTTTATTTACCTATTTATTTGTATCTGAACATCCTGCAAGAAGACTGAGCATATCGTTTTTCCTTGATGTCTACGATAAAGATGGAATTCTTATGAGTTGGAAGAATATTGTACTAGTTAATGATTTCTTACCTTTTCAGCTGAGAAAACTGCATTTCCTTCTTCATTTGTGGTTTCTGTTGTGAATGTTTGCAGCATATCACAAGATACCACTGTCAACTGCTTCAATTTTGGACACTCTATAGTATGTCTCCCCATATAGAAACGCTTAATTTTTTCTAGGTAACATAATGTGATCCGAGTTACTTCAGGAAACACTAATGGTTCATTGCTAGTTTCTGAGCCATCTTCCCCGGCAACAATTTCCATTATTCCATCACAAAACATTACCAAAAGGTATTCAAGCTTTTCAAGATCTTTGGCCACAGAAGCTGGTAAAACACTGCTAAGTTTATCACAATCAAAAACGCCTATACTTCGCAGATTTTTGAAGTTAAGAATTCTTCCTGGATCTCTGCTCCAAACTTGCTTCAGGTTTGGGAGCTCGTCTACGAGAATGAGGTCCAATTTTGTGTCTATCCTAGATGCATCTATTTGCTGAAAATCTTGGACTTCAAAAATCACTTCCACTGACTTGCAATTAACAACCTTCAAGATGTTTAATGTCCTAAACCATCCTTTCATGTGACTCGGAAATATCTTGTCTAGTTTTCTGCACCTTACAATGTGCACAGAAATGAGACTAGAAAAGGAATCAGCACCAATGACTTCAGCTTGCCAAATGTCTGTTAACATATTCATTTCGGTGAGGCGGATTTCCTCCAACTTAGGAAAAATGCAGACCTGCACTTTGATACAAAGAAGCCATTAGGAGGTAATGAAACTTAACGAAAATGCACAACAAGGAAGAGTGAGCAAGAACTTCACACCGATACAAACCTTGTCCTCACTATTTCCATCAATGCTAAAAATCTTCTTCATCATCCGACAGTCACTAATAAAAAGGCCTTTCAGTTTCTCCAAACGGCTAGCCACAGACAATGAACATAAATATTCCAAGTTATGACAACCTTCAACAGTTAATTTTATTAAATTTTGAAAGCTGGAACTTGACAAAGGCTGGTCTCTCCATATCTTATGGATCTTGATCGAGGATAACTTCAACCTCTCTAAGTTGGGAACTTCAACCTGCAAGCACACACACAATTACTATATTTGCAACAACTAAAAAAAAATAAATATTATTGATCATAAATCAGTTATACCGGAGGAAAAGAATACAATATCATACCATTTCACTAAAGAGATAATGCTCATCCTCTGCAATAGTGATTTCAGTGTGATCCCTGTTTGTTGTTTGCCCTTGTATCAATTGAGGTGCAGAAGGCTTCTCAACCTTAGTATAAAAACTAGTAAATAACGGTAAGGATTGTAGTTTCAAGGACCGTAACTTATGAAACTCAACCTTCTCAGAATTTACTTGTCTTTCCTCAATAACAATCTCCTCCAAAGAATCAGATTCAGAAACATCAATTGTTTCTAAACTAGCAAGAAATTTCACCATGTAAAAGGAGAAGAGATTCTTCAAATGGGTACACATCTTGACCTTTATGGTTTTTAATTTGGAGAATGACGCATCTGTAACTGGACTGCAACATATCATCTTTATTTCACTCAGTTTGTAGAGACATAGAGATTCCAAATTGGGAAAAGCATCCTGAGGCTGGGACAGCTCCATTGATTTAATGATATATTCAATATCCCCGTTATTAATGATCGACAAGTGTTTCAGATATGGAAATCCATCCAAATTCAACTCATAAAACACATTCTTAACACCATTTAGCTCTCCCAACAACAAGTTTTCAACTCTTCCAAACAACAATTTTATCCCTATCTGGGAATGAATTTGAGTGTCATCTTTCAGCTGCAATGCCAAAGATCTTAATGCTTCATACTTATTGGGCATCCTGAAATCTCCAACTGAAAGCATCTTGAAGTCTCCAATCAGGATCTTGTAATCATCTAACTTGTCAAAGAGCAAGTTCCGAGGTAAAACTACAGCACTAGGGATGCATAAGTCCACAATTTTCAATTGATGCAGATGCTCTAGCTCAGAAAGAAATGACTTATGACTTTGGTTTGTCTCTCCTTCCTCCTCAATTTTCATCAAGCTCTTTCTTATATACAACTCTTCTAAACACTTCAAGCTTGACATAATATTCGGTGGAATCCCCTTCCCTATGGAACATTGGCTGATGTCTAACAATTGTAGCTTAACTAAGCACTCTAGCTCAGCTGGCAATTTTTGGATTTGAGATCCAGAAAAGCTGAGAATTCTTAATTTTTTGAGCTCTCCTATGATGGATAAGTTGTGAACTAGAGTGCATCGCTCCAAACAAAGCATTGTGAGGTTTAATAGGGATTTGATGGAAGATGGCAAGCATGGTAGATGAATACCATTCAATATTAATACTCTGAGTTTTTTCATTCCTTCAAAAAAATTCTCAGGTATTTTCAAAGATGGATCATCACTGGCAATTTGGAAGAATTTAAGTTGAGGAAAATTTATAACTTTAGGAAGCTCAATGATATCACTATCGTGTATAGAAATAGCAGTGCACCTCTCGAGTTCATCCTCGTCTGGCCAGTCATCTACTTTCCCATTTCTCAAAGTAAATACATTTTGCTCCTTGTGTGCTATAGATAAAGCAGCATCTTGAACCATATCATGCATTTTGAAATTATCACTAGAACTTCCGTCCAACAGCAAACTTGAGTCTTTTAGCTTTTGGATAGATGCATATATTCTATCCCGAGCTTCCCTTAGCGCATAGACCCCTTGAAGTATGCCCAAACCAAAACAATACTTCACCAAGTCCATAATCAATGGTTGATGACCCATTTGAGCACAAAGTAAGAAAATGGATTTGAGCTCCTCACTTTCTAGATGGTCATAACTTATCTTTACCGAAATCTCCATAGATTTCTGCACTCCCATCAGTTCTTGCTTTTTAAGTTTTTCTAGTGTAGTTGCCCACACTGACTCACTCTTATTTCTTAATGCCCTTCCAACTGTAACTATTGCCATGGGCAACCCTGCACAGTATTTCTTCACAATTTCTTGTTTAAAACTAGACATTTCATCAGATATCCCAGCCACCTTCTTAAACAACACCAGAGCATCCTTCTCATCTAATTCCCTTACGCAGAAAATGGATGTTAACTTAACATCCATTTTCTCAGACAATACTTTTTTATCTCTTGAAGTTAGCAAAATTTTGCACCCTTTATAATCACCAAGAGATTTTTCCTTTTTCACCCCTTTGAAGTTAAGATCCTTTTTATCTTTGATTGTCATCTGGCTTAAACTGTCATCGTCGTCATCATCATCAAATGGAATCCCTAACTTATTCAAGTCTAATTTATCCCAAAGATCATCCAAGATTACAAGGGTGTTCTCCTTCTCTTTCTTTAACCTCCTTCGCAGACGATCTGCTCTCACAGTCTCATCTTCCTCTTCCAATGTCAATCCTAATACATAAGCAATAACTTCCTGGATATTTTGAGGTCTGGGATTGTCTGTTACCTCTGCTATAGCTACCACACTGAACAACTTCTTAGCTTCCTTAGCAATCTCTTTGATTAAAGTGCTCTTGCCCACACCACCTGGCCCATACACTCCAATCATCCTCACTGCGGAATCTTCTAGTTGTTCCATTATTTGTTCCATTGTATGTTTTCTTGAACCAAATTCCATATAGCCAACATTAGACAAAATGGCATCTATGGATGTTGGGTTCTGTTGATAGGAAACTCCATCAAACCTGGACTCATCTATTAGTAACTTAACATCTGCAGCCATCTTCTTTGCTTTTCTGCCTAGTCTGTGCCTATTCCGCAAATTGAAAAACCTCGTTTTTGTGTGGTCTTCATTGTTCTGAAACTTCTCGTTTATGTCAGTTATAGTTTTGTCCACTTTCTCAAGCCAAACTCTAACCTTACTTTCTATTCCTCTCATATTATTCCCAGCTTCATCAACTTGATGTTTCACCCTCTCTTTTTCAAGGCCAAGATTCTTTACACGTTCCTTTAGTTCATTAACATTTTCCCTGTAATTCCAGATGTAACCCAGATGCCGGAAACTCAGGTCCCACACAACATCAATTGCTTTTTCTACAATTTTCGAGGCGCACTCCATGCTCTTTCTTGATTTTCTTCAACTACGTACGTACGAGGTACGAGTACGACTACATCTCCTTCCCAACAGAAGAGGAAAAGTGGAAACAAATCAGTAAAGAACTAATTAAGAAAAGAAGATGATATTTCATCAAAAATATCAACATCAACATCAACGACACATTTATCTCAAATTAATTGGAGTCGGTGGTAAATGAACCCACATGAAAGATACAAAACCGTTGAAAAAAATAAAAAAAGCAAAAAATAAATAAATAAAAATAAACAAATAAAATAAAATAAGATAAAATAAAAATAAAATAAAATAAAATAAAATAAAATAAAATAAAAATATATGTATATATAAATAAATAAAAGTAAAAAAGAAAGGGACAAGAAGAAGTGGGGGAAATGAAGGGGAAAAGGGCTAAAAAGGGACCATCTGGAACATAGGAATAACAGCGGGTCTAACCCCCCATCATACTTATAGCTTTTCTCCAATCCGTTCTAAGACATACTGTCCGCCAATCTATATCTCACTCCATTAAATCTTGTTTTAATACCTTCCCTCAAGTAAGTTTCGGCCTACCTCTGCCTCTTTTTGTGTTTAGCTCTTGGTAACAAACTTCTGTTCTTACAGGAGCATCCATGGGCCTTCTCATGACGTGCCCAAACCACCTCAATCTATGTTCTCTCATCTTCTCGGCTACCGGTACTACTCCGACCTTTCGTCGAATATCTTCATTTCTTATCTTATCCATCCTCGTGTAACCACACATCCACCTTAACATCTTCATCTCTGCTACTCTCATCTTATGCTCATGTTGCCTATGTGCTGGCCAGCATTTCGCTCCATATAGCATTGTCGGTCTTACTGCCGTTTTATAGAATTTTTCTTTTAACTTCAGGGGAATTTTGCGGTCACATAAAAATGCAGATGCACTGCGCCATTTCATCCACCCTGCTCTGATTCTGTGATTTACATCCTCATCAATCTCTCCACCTTTTTGTAAAATGGAGCCCAAGTATTAAAAACCATCTTTTTTGGGTACCTCTTGACCATTTAGATGCACGGGCTCTTGGTCCCTATCTCGTACCAGAGAAAACTCAAACTTCAGATACTCAGTCTTGCTTCGACTTAATGTGAATCCTTTGGATTCCAATGTGCTTCTCCACAATTCAACTTTTCTATTAACACCCTCCTTGCTCTCATCAATAAGCACAATATCGTCTGCAAAAAGCATACACCATGGCACTTCCTCTTGAATATCTTTTGTTAGTTCATCCATAACTAAGGTAAGGACTTAGAGCCGACCCTTGGTGTACACCTACCGTGATAGGAAAATAACTTGATGATCCGTTACAAGCTTTTACACATGTAGTAGCCCCATCATACATATCCTTGATTGCCTTTACATACTTTAATGGAACATTTTTCTTCTCCAGAACCCACCATAAAACTTTCTTTGGAACCCTATCGTATGTTTTCTTAAGGTCTATGAACACCATATGCAAGTCCTTCTTCTTTTCTCGGTATCTTTCCATTAGTTGTCGCATCAAGAAAATGGCTTCCATGGTACATCTTCTTGGCATAAATCCAAATTGATTTACAGAAACCTTGGTATCTCTCCTCAAGCGATGTTCAATAACCTTCTCCCACAACTTCATAGTATGGCTCATTAGCTTAATGCCTCTATAGTTTGAACAATTTTGTATATCTCCCTTATTTTTGTAGATAGGCACAATCATACTTTTCCTCCATGCATCAGACATCTTATTCGTCTGGAGAATCTTATTAAAAAGATTGGTCAACCATTTTATTGTCACATCCCTCAGGCCTCTCCACACTTCAGAAATATATTTAGAATAAATTTGAAGAACGGTAGACAAAATTTCTAAAAAAATAAATAAGCAACATTTTACATTCACCAAACCGATGGAAAATCCATGGGATGGAAGGTTTGAATTTATTTGTGGGGATTAATGTTTCTCATAAAAATAATTTTATCTCTTACAAACTCGTAAAGTATACGAGATCTATTTTTTCTTTCTTTCTTGCTATACATAGGCTTCACACCTATAATGAGACAGTAACTTTAGAGTCTATCTTTGATGAAAAGTAAGTTAAAAATGACAAATAAGGGGATAAAAATGTGGATAGGAACAATTAGCCAAAAGATAAAAGTAAAAATAGAAACATGACTGGAAAAATATTCTAGTTCATTGGATAAAAGTTTGGTAATAAATAAATGTGACTAGATAGATAAATTTTTATCCAATTAAACTTCACTTAACCTATGTAAGTCAAAAATTTCAAAACATTCTTATTTCTTTTTCGTCTTCCATGAGCATCGACACAGGGAGGAAAAAGAAGAAGAGGATTTTGAGTAAAAATCTTTTAAAATTCATAGAGAGAGCTAGAGACCTCCAAATCACTCTTTTCCAAAGTCAAACTTATGATAAATTTCGAGAGGAACACATTAGTATCTATATTTTCGGGTGGGGTTCACTGTAGATAGAGTTATTCTTCCCCTAAGATTTCAGATTTCATGGAAAATATGGATTTTGATGGAGCTTGAGGCCATGGGAGCTTGAAGTAAGATTTTCCCTTTATTTTTGGGTTTGTGGTAAGGAATCACCTCTCTTTTCTTGTTTCCATGAAATTTTAAGAATTTTAGGTTTTGAGATGAATAGTGCACGAAAATTTGATGGTATGGATAGGTAGAAAGTGATTTGGATATAGCTTCCTTTATTAAATATGTTTAGAATTGCTTCTTGATGAAAGACAAAAAAAGAAATCATTGTTTATCTCACTATAGAAAATCATGATTTTTGACTATATGTCAATTTTGAAAATTTAATGGTATAAGTAGTTGGAAGGTGATTTGTAAATGAGTCCCTTTGTTAATCATGCTTGGGATTAGTTCCCGTAAAAGGAAAAATTATGAAATCGCCATTTAGAACACTTTGATAAATTGTACTTAAAATCAAGTGTAGGTGTCTTGAATGGTAGTCTTAAAAATTGAATGTGGTAGACTAGTATATATGTATTGATTGTCTTCACATATTTGGAATAGGCTGTGATATTATGAGATTTTGGTTGTGACACCTACATCAGAGGACATTGCTTGCCCGATAAGCTTTCGATTCTTGGGGTTAATCCCTCGTTTGTTTCATTAGAGAGTGAGGGAGGATGATACTTTTATATGGTATGTGGATATGACTTGCTATATGGTGCATGTATATGTATGTATGTTTGTGTGCCACACAAAAGGAGTAACCTTGTGTGTGAAGCATAAGAGGAGTTACCTTATGCGTAGTACAGGATGAGTTACTTTGTACGGGTATGTTGCAAGATGAGTTACCTTGCATAATGCATATATATTTTATTCTCTGGCCAGTAGGATTATATTATTGCGCACATGCATTGCCATACATATTCTGATGCATGCATGGATATTTTATATATTTTAATTATACCATAAGTGAGCTTAGGGGTGGATAAGCCCTCCAAGGGTCCCTAGCTTACTGAGGTAATTATATTATCTCATCCCGCATTATGGGAATTACCATTTTAGGTACAGGAGCTGACGGTGCTGAGGTATCGCGTGGCAAAAAGGCAGACGAAAGATATTACCTGACCTGATAGTCAGGATTAACTTGTTATTTTGATATATACTTGATAGGGTTCTATTTTGGATATGTATATATACCATATTATTCTTTTGGAAAGCATAGGGAGTGTTTATGCCATATCGATAGTTTGTATATGTTGTTAGTGATGCATGCTCAGGTTTATGTTACTTATTTAATTGAATCTCTTTACTTTATTTGATGTAATTATATAAGTAACATCATGGACTTATTTTGAGACAGTATGATTATGAGATAACCTAGGCTATAGATGGCTGGGCAACAGTGACGAAGCCATGTTAGGACAGGGTGGGGCCTTAGCCCGGGCTAACTTTTAAAAATTAGCCATGTTTTAAACGTGGCTAAATCACTGTTTTAGGTAGATTTTCAAAAATTAGTCACATTTTAAACGTGGCTAAAGAACTGTACATGCTAATTTTTTTTTGACCTGGCTAGGTTGCTATGTTGGCTCTGCCACTGCTGGGCAGTATGTTTTATCTATATTGTGGTATGCCTGGATTATATTAAACTATCAATCAGGTTGAAATTATCATGGTGGCAATTATCTTTAGTGGTCCAAAATATAGACGAAATGTTGTTTTTTTTATTTTGGTCATGGAAGTGAAAAAGTTGGTAATACATAAGGAAAAAAAAAATTATTCAGTTAGTTTCCGCATCAATTAACTTGAGCATGTTGTGTTTAATATCATATGAATGTTAATTAATCTGTTGTAGACGGGGCGTTACACACACTTTTATGTGTATATAAGAGATAAAATTATCTTCTACAACATGAAAAATATTAATCTTAATTTGTGTTGGTAAATTCTAAGGGTGTACAATTTGACCCAACCAATTTATGGAAAAACACAAAGTTATGTCATTTTTAATGAAACTACGTCATTTTGGTGTATTTTTACATTCTCTCTCCTCCATTTTTATTTTCTTTCTAATTTTATAAAAAAGAAAAAAATTACAAAACACACCAAAACGTAATTTCATTAAAAATGAATAACTTTGTGTCATTTAAAATGATAAATATTTTTTTTCCAATTTATTTGAGTTAATTCGTTAATGGTCAGATATAATTTGGGATAATAAATTATTAACTAGTCTTATACAAACAACATTCATTGTTTCACTCACATTATTTTATTTATTTTTATAATTATAATTTGAAAAGTTAATTTTAAATAATTATCAAAATATCTCTTGGAAAATAAATGTTTCATTTTAAAATATTTTTTATAACACTAGAATCCTAATACAAATGTAATTAATTGTATGTTTATTTCAAGTTTTTTTTAATATGTGTGGTGTGTTATTCGTCATAAGTTCATAACAATGAATAACGACTTTAAATCATAAAGTAAATTCAATTAAAATTTT